GCTTTTCTGGAAAAAGGGCCCGTATTAAAAACTGTGTTAACTCGAGTCCTCTATGAGTTATGAAACAAATAAATAGCCCTTTTTCAGGAAGCTGTTCAATTCTAATATAAAAAGAAGTTATACTTGTGGCGCGTGTTCCACGGGAAGGCCAAGCTTCCTCAGATCGCTTCCAAATTCCTTCACCCCTTGATAATCACCCTGAATGGCGTACGCGGCGAACTGGCTCAATTTATTCGTTAACCTCTCCGCCTTTGTCACTTGGCCGGGTCGTACACCAGGTCGTTCCTTGTAGAAAATATACTGCAACTTCACCGTAAATATTTTCCCATATTGATCAAACTGCTGCGCCCCGATGTCAGATATCGAGTAAGAAGGGACCAGAGGTAATTCTTGGAAGGGGTCCTTGTCCTCCCTGCTGTTAAACAACTGCAGTACAGGATTGTCACCCTGGTAGACCAACTTCACGAAGATCTTTTTCCAGAATCGTTGGCCGGTGATCTTCTTCTTGTTGGGTTGGCGTAGATGCATTTCCCAACCGTCACCGGTATACGTCACTCTTGGGAAATCTTCCAAAGGTTGGCTGACGTCTTCGTCGAACAGGGGTGTTGGAGGAGTTTCCTGGTATCAGGCAGAAATAAATAACAACATGTGTGCAAGGTAAATAACAAAAAAGAAGAATGGTATATGTATATAGTATGGTATGGTATGGTATAGTATGGTATCGTATGGTATAGTATAGTATAGTATAGTATAGTATAGTATATGTATATGTATATGTATAGATATAATAAAACAATTAATTTTATTAAATTGGCCAGAAAGTTCTGGTTTGCATATATATATGGAGATAACAATGGGATTACTTTATTAAAATTTTTTAATTAATAGAAATAATTCTTTCAAAGAGACAAGGCGTTAATAAGAATTTTCCTTTCAATTTTTCATCAAAGTCACACAAAAATGAAAGCATCAAAGTTTATAATACCTGAGAATCTGTCCTAGTGATCTCAGCAGGCTGAACAACTTCTGCAGTGGGGATAGCATCCTGTGCGAATCCTGATTTGTCGAAAGGATTGAATCGTGGCGAGGTGTCGGCGTAAGCTGTGTTCTGAGGACTTTTTGGCGGTGGCGCTAACGCAGGGACAGCTCTACCTTCCATTGCTCCACCCTGGTCATCCTCTTTAGGTCTACAGGAATAATATAAATTAATAATTGATGTTTACATTGTTCGTTAATCTGACGTTTGACTTGGTCGACGCTTACTTAATAAATACACTGAAATCTGGTCCCGCATCCGATTCTACAGACTCGGTTCTCTTTACGGTTGGTTCTGCAGGGGGGGCAGTCATACTGAGGAACGAGTCAAACCCATCAGCTTCACCGAATCCAGTCACTGCTGTCTCTGACCCCGTTGCAGACGAATCACCCCAAACTATGTCAAACAAATAGGAGAAATTTTCTAGTTTTCATCGTTAAAAGCTTGTTCTTCAATTCACAAACAGAAGACTGAATAAAGATTAAAATGGACACACACAAAATCAAGTATAAAAAGTGAAAATAAATAGGAAAAGTTTTCTAGATTTCGCTGTCGAGAGTTTGTTTCTCAATTTACAAATTCTTTTCTACTCATTTTATGGTAAAAAGAGAAACTTCTTTTACCATCGCTAGACGTGTCCATGGCAGTAGGCCCGCCGCCAAACGCGTCCAAGAAAGGATCCCCACCGCTGGTTTCCTGCTCTGCAGCTTTATCGAACTTCGAGGCAAAGATGTCGAAAGCGTCGCCGGTATTTTCAATGGCTTTCGTAGTGGCTGCAAAATTATCCAGCTGTTCCTCGGGCTTGTACGCCTCGCTGGCAGGGAACTCAGCTCCAGGAGTCGGACTGATGACACCGCTGGTGTCCCTGGCGGGTTCGGCAAAATCACCAAGCAAATCAGAAGCGAATGTGCCGCTAGGTTCGCTGGTAGCTACAGCGATTTCCGTGCTTGCAAACAGAGATTGCGTGCTAGGCGTTTGCATGGACGTCGCCGCGGTCCCAAACGGTCCAGAAGACAACGTTGTTGCGTCGGTGACAGAGAAGAACGCGGACTCGCTAGTGGTCGCGGTCAGTTGCTCGTGGGTAATACTGGTCGTGAACAATTCAGCCCCGGTGGCCGACGACTGCACAGTCTCCGAGATAACGGGCGATTCTGCGGAGAAATCCAGATCAATGCCAGCCTTCTCGGTGTCGCTTCCGATAACACCTGTCGTCGAGGCTATAGAGGCTCTCTTCTCGCTGGTTACAGACGCTGTCTCCGGGAAGTCTGACTTGAAACTGTCTTCCGCCTGTGTCGGCGACGCTTCCTGCTCCGTGATGCTGACGAATGGGTTCTCTTGGCCGATGGTAGCGCTGATCAGAGGCACACCTGCCACCAAATTGGCGGTGTCCTCGGTGGCCATCGAGGAGGAGAATATAGTGGTAGTCGTCGTGTCGTCTGTATTCGGGGCATCGAACAGATCCAGAATGTTCTTTGGTGGCTCTGCCACCGTTTTGCTGTCGTCGGACATCAGGTCCGGCACGTTCGAGTCCACGTCCAGGAAGTCGGCGTAACTGTGCTCCGGCGTTGGTGACGGAGAGTGCATCAACGTTGGACTGGGTGTCCTCGTTGCCTGAAACGGATCACTCAAGATAAAACGACTGAGAAATTCGAGCAATGAAACACTGACTAGGGAACGTAACGAATCCTGACTGATCGTGTCTGCTTAAAAAGAGCAAGCAACCATTCAACAATAAAATCAAATTCTAACATTTATGAAATTCCAGTTATGTGAATTGACAAAAAAAAAAAAATTGTAAAATCAACGGATGGAGATGAATGATATAAATATAGTGGTAATACAGTTAGGTGGATATACAGTTTATCCAGTATTTGGAAAAATATATTATTCAATAAATTATTCAATAATATATTATTATATATTATTCCATATATTATTCAATAATAATAATAATTGGCAATAATGAATATAGTATTCAATAATAATAATAATAATAATAATGATTGGTAATAATCAATATGTTATTCATTAATAATAATAATGATTGGCAATAATCAATATATTATTCAATAATAATAATGATGATGATGATGTTGTTGATGGTGATTGGTAATAATCAATATATTATTCAATAATAATAATAATGATTCGTAATAATCAATATATTATTCAATAATAATGATGTTGATGATGATTGGTAATAATCAATATGTTATTCAATAATAATAATGATGATGATGATGATAATCAATGGTGATTGGTAATAATAATATATTATTTAATAATGATGATGATGATGGTGATTGGTAATAATCAATATATTATTCAATAATAATAATAATATATTATTTAATAATAATAATAATGATAATGATAATCGGTAGTCGATAGTCGATAATCGATAGTCGATAGTCGATAGTCGATAGTCGATAGTCGATAATCGATAATCGATAATAATCGATAGTCGATAATCGATAGTCGATAATCGATAGTCGATAATCGATAATCGATAGTCGATAGTCAGTGTATATTATTCAGTAATAATATTAATACTAATAATAATGGTGGTAATAATCAAAAACTGATATAACTTATTGGGGATCCTAATATGAATGAAAATTGAGAAATTTTCAAATCCACCAATTATAAAAGGTATAACTATAAAAAGAATTATTAAAAATGACTAGCAATGAAATTATAAATTAATTTTTATATTTTGTTTAATACCTGCTATTGCACGTTCAGCGAGACGTTCATTATTTGAAAATAATGAAAAAAATCAAGATTCTATCCGTAATTGTGTTTGAATATATATAAGACAGAACACACACCTGTAATCGATCCAGAAGATGATTAGACGTAGCATCCATGGCTCCGGTGACTGACAGGATCAAGTCTTTGGTGTTCTTAGGGGGCGTGGGTGGTTGAGGTCTCGGCGGTGGAGGTCTGGACGGTGCAGGCCTGCCATTCTTGGCTTGGGGTGGTGTGACAGGTACCGCCGGTGACGGCGGTGGTGCAGACTGCAACTCCTGGCCGAACAGTTCGTCGCTCGCTTGAGGGGAGATCGGTACGTCGAACAGATTCGAGCTCGACTCGTCGTCAGTTGTCGCGAAAATGTTGCTAGATTCGGTAGAGAATATATTGGCGGTCGTAGCGTCGCTGATGGCCTCGAAGCCGGTGCTCGCCGCGGTCGTTTCTGCGGCGAACGAGGCGAACGGATTCGTCGAGTCGACGGTGATGGCCGATGATTGATAGGATTGGTCTGCGCCAAAATTCAAGAATGGATTCTCCCCTCCGCCGGTTGTCCCCGCGTCCGTGAAATCCTGGAGGAAAGGGTTCGACGCTTGGTTGGCCATCCTGTTGTCGTTCGACTCGATCCCGTAGTCGTCCATCAGGAACGGGTTCCCTCCCTTGGAATCCATGTTGCTCGACGAAGGTTAATTGACTAGCTTGAAACGTTACTTAAAATATTCTTTGGTATACAATAATACTTTCTGATAGAGAATTACACAGAGAGGGAGAGGGAGAGAGAGCTTTAGCAGAGAGTCTTTCGCAGCAGTGAGAAGAAGAGGAAGAAGAAGAAGGAGAAGAAGCTTCTCTATTTCTCCATTAATTCGGACTCGAGTATCTTCAGTTCGGTCTTCCCGGGCCCCAGAGTGGCGAAACTCGTGTCGAAAGGATCCACGTCCTCCGCTAGACCGAACTTCTCGTTCTGCAAAGGCGTGAGTACCTTCGCTCCAGGATCTTGATCGTCGATGCAGAGAAAGTCCGTGGACTCGTTCGTCCTCTCGTCTGCCCTCGGGTCGAAGTCAGGATCAACCTCGGGGACGCTGATGGCGGTCTTGATGATGGCGGTCAACGCGATGGGCACAGGACGAACAGGAATCTCGCCTTGGATCTGTTGCAATTCGCTCTCGAGTATCTTCAACTCTGTCTTGCCAGGAAGGATGTTAGTCGCGATGGAGGTGTCGAAAGGATCGGCGTAGGAGATCTCCTCCTCCTCGATCGGCTTCGACTCGATCCTCGGCGTCAGCGGCTTCGCGTCCACCTCGATCTTCTCGTCCAGAAGACTCTGCTGTCTCTCCTGCAACCTCGGTTTATTCTGCTCCTCGAACTTCTTCAACACGGAGTCTTGAAGCTCGTTGATCTTCAGATTGCTCGGCCGGATCGTACTGGCCGTGAAATCGCTCTGCCTTCTCACCAGCTGATCTTCGGCGCGTGGGTCGAACTCGTGGTCGCTCAGGCTGTGAGGCAACCTCGGCTCTTGTTTCAACAGTTCGGACTCGATCAGCTTCAGCTCTGTCTTGCCGGGCGCGACCTTGGCTACGAAACTGGTGTCGAAAGGATCGACATCGGCCTCCTCCTCCTGTATCGGTAACAAATCGTCGATGGACTTCTGGGAGTAGTAAGGCGTGAGAGGTTTCGAGGGTAGAGCTTTCTCCTCGTCGGTGGTCGCGAGTAGATCTGGTCGTTTGGACGGTGTGGGCAACTCGAAGGCGACAGCCTTCGACGGTGCTAACTCGAGTACCTCTGGCCTCGAAGATCTTCGCCCGCGATCGGCTGCCTCGCCGGTGTTTTCCTCTTCTTCTTCTTCTTCTTTGAACTCGACTGGTTGAAAGGCTGGGTTGACAGGCGTTGCTGGTAGAGGTGGCCTTGCCGGTACCTTGCTGATAGCAGCCGTTTCAACCGGCTGCTCGTCCTTCCTCGGATCAAAATCCTCGTCGTCCAGTGAATTAGAAACGTCTGGTTGTTCGCCAAGCAGCTCCTTCTCGAGGAACTTCAACTCCGTCTTGCCAGGAGGGATCTCCTTAACAGCTGAGGTGTCGAAGGGATCCACGTAGCTTATGTCCTCCACCGGAGCAATAGGCTCGTCGGCGAGTTGACTGAGATCGGTGGTAGATCCTCCTAAGAGATCCTTCTTACCTTGCAGACCGTTGCAGACCCTCGTCCCATGCTCTTCCTTCAGCAATCCCGTCTCGTAGTCTCGGTTGAATCCCGCGGGGTCTGTCAACGATATCGTCACCTCCGATACCGGCAGCTCCTCTAGCTCTTTCTCGATGAACTTCAACTCTGTCTTACCGGGAAGGATGTTCTCGGCGAAGGTGGTGTCGAACGGGTCCTCCTCGTCGACGAACGTGGCCGCCTCGAAGCTCGCCTCGATGATCTCGGACTGGAAGTCTACAGCCTCTACAGGTTCCTTGGACTCGAAGGGATCGTCAGCCTCCTCGAGACGCACTGGTTCATCTGGCGCCGCCTCTAAGTCGAACTCCGCGTCGTCCAAGTCGGGAATCTCTTCCAAGATCGTCTTCTCCTTCAGCACTTCGAACTCGGATATATCCAAAGGTCCGACCACGTCCGACGACTTGTTCTCCGCGACGTTCTCTTGGCTCGCAGCCGGGCTGGCCGGCCTTGGCAGAACGGGAGGAAGCTTGGTGAGATCGACAGGAATGTCCGGAAGATCGCTGTCGTCGTCGAGCAAGGTTTTCTCTATCTCCACCGGCTCTGCAACTACGTTACCACCGTCCGCCGGTTGCTCCGGCTCCTCGAAATCGTCCAACAGTAAGTCCTGTTGAAGCCTAGGACGCCTGCCCTTCGTGATCTTGCACGAGCTGACGTAATCAATCCGACCGGACAGAACCTCTACCGCGTTCCCTAAACTCACTAACTTGTTCCCCTTTTTGTCGACTGTTTTCAACACCTTGTCAGCGCTTGTAGTGTCGAACGGATCGTCTCCGATCTGTTCCTCGGTCGGGCTGTCGGGTATGTAAGCTAGTTGAACGTCGATATTCTGGAGAACATCGACGTACGTCGTGTCGAATATATCCTCCTCGGCGGAGTCCTCGCGTTCATCCTCGTCGTCGGGGATCACGACGAAACCGTCCTCGTTGACCAGAGGTTTCTCCTCTTTCTTCTTACTCTTCTTCCCTTCGAAGTCCGGTGGCTCCTCCTCGATCGGATTGCCCTCCTTGTCGAAGCCCACCCACTTTCTCGACGACTTTCTATTACTCGGATCCTCTTGATCCTCCTCCTCCTCCTCCTCCTTCTCTCTCTTCTCGTCCTCTAGCGGCGGTTTCCGTTGGAAGAAGGAAGTGGACTTTATACGATCGAGATCACCCTGTGTCTTCTTGAGGATCGAGTCGACACCGGCGGTCAACGCCTCGAACTTCTTCCACTCGTCGGAGCTGGCGTTGCTGGCCTGCTCGCCGGAATCCTCGGCTTTCTGCTGGGCCTCCGCCCGCTCGCGCCTGTAACGTTCGAGCTCCTCCGGGTCGAACTCGTCCTCCTCTGCCCCCTTCTTGCCCTTCTTCTGCTTTTTCTTCTTCTTCAGGCCCTTGGCTAGCTTGTGCATCCTCTAAGAGCTACCGTGGAACAAGCGAGGCCTCTGCAACCAACGTTTCATCGTTCTCTCTTCATTTCTATTTCCAACTTTTAATTAATTCCCTATACTATTGACCCTTTGCATTCTGAGTATTTTTTTTCATGCTGTTATACATGTATAATATGACATGATATAGTAACAGTATAACGTTGTTGTAATAATAACTTTTACTTGTATAATAATTTTAATAACCAACTGTATAACAATTGTATAATAATTTTAAGACCTTTAATACTCTTTGTAAATATATTTTGAAGCTTCATAAACATTCAGATTATATCATGAATATATTGGTCAAATTCCAAGCAAATCTAGTATTACAGTATATGTTATACTATATTATTTGAGAATATTATTGATTGATTATATGTACTATATTATGTACACTATATTTTGAAACTTTATCAACTGTAGTAAGACCAATATAACCTGATTATATCACGGTTATATTGGTCAAATTCCAAGCAAATCTAGAAATATACGTACAAGATTACAACACTGTGTAGTCACCACAGTATATATTATACTATATTATTTGAGAATATTATTGATAGATTATATGTACTATATTATATATTATGTACATTATATTTTGAAACTTTATCAACACTGTAGTAAGATCTGATTATATCATGGTTATATTGGTCAAATTCCAAGCAAATCTAGAAATATACATGCAAGATTACAACACTGTGTAGTCATCACAGTATATATTATACTATATTATTTGAGAATATTATTAACAGATTATATGTACTATATTATATATACATTATGTACACTATATTTTGAAACTTTATCAACTGTAGTAATATCTGATTATATCATGGTTATATTGGTCAAATTTCAAGTAAATCTAGAAATATATATAGAAGATTACAACACTGTGTAGTCGCATATATTATTCTATATTATTTGATAGTAGTCACACATATTATAGTATATTATTTGGTAGTAGTATATGTAGTATTATGTCAGTCATGATAGTCTTTGTAGTAGAGCCAATGTTATGAAGTATATTCTGCATGTTCTCGAAACAGAGCCAACAGAGTGCAAAGGGTGAAACGTTCTAGATGTTGCTAACCAATTGAAAATGCTAAACAATAATTTGTGATGTAAAAGAGAGAAACATACGTGTATTATTAAGCAAACTTATCTTGGAATTTATTAGATTCCGTAATAAGTTTATTCATCTCTTAACATTTACATAGAATTGTTCAATTACTACATTGGTGAAAAAGCGAATATTGCAACATTGAGTTACAGATTTGTTTTGTGAGATTTTCAATTACAAGTTTGAGATATTCCAATTTTTAATTACAATTTCATTCCAGTTTCAAATTATTGTAGCACTCATTAACTATTTCAATATTTGGAAAACTTTAAATAACTCAAGAATTTTGAGTTATTTAAAATGATTTGACAAAATATGAAGGTAAAGATATTTAAAGAGGCACGAATGAATTTACTAATATTGTCTAATATTACTCATCTCTCTTTACAATATAAAAATTAATGTCGATTCAGCTTCTGAAATGTTGATAGGAGGATTGTATTAGTTTCTCTGACACATGAAACGTGAAAGAAAAACAGACTCAAAGGACAATTTAAATGTAAATTGCTATTGTTGTTATTGCAAGTTTCGTGCAGATTATAACTCTAAGTGGGATCAAAGGATCCAAATCACAGGGATCAAAGATATGATAGTTGGAGTGAAGTTATCATGCTCTAGACTTTAGACAAACTCTACGCAACCCTGAAGTACCGTCAATCTATCATCGATCGGCCACCGAGAGATAAAAGGAAGCTTCAAGTGTGAGGCATGCACGATATGGACGACATGCGTGTGCTCGCGAACGAGATGACAACACACACCCACGCCACGTTTATAAATGCTCAAACTTTGCCGAATCTTCGAATACTTGTTGCACACTAACGATCTTCATATAGTTGGTTGCTCTTTATAACCGGCGCGCTAAATTCGTCCGGTCCTTTTTTTAAAAGCATCCACACACCGGCGAAACATTCTCTATGTGCTTGTTCATCTTTCTGCTCTCTGTTGCCACAGTTGTTCGTGAAAATATTCGAATGCTTATAGGAACTCTCTGTGAATATGTTGCGCGCGTTATGTAAAGGATTTTGAAATTTCATTAACACTGTTCACACAGCGAAACCTAATTGTCACGGGTACATTGGTCAAGTTCCAAACAAATCTAGAAATGTATATAGAAAAATAATGTACATATGTATATAGAAATGTATATAAGTATATATATATTTGTACATATGTATATATGTACATATGTACATATGTATATATGTATATATGTATACATGTATATATGTATACATGTATATATGTATACATGTATATGTGTATGTATGTATAATGTATATATGTATATATGTATATAGAAATGTATATATGTATATAGAAATGTATACAAGTATATATATATATATATTTTTTTGTAGTCAAAAGTATTTAAACAACTAATTATCCATTATAAAGACCAAGCAATAATTTGTCATAATTAAACTGCAGATTTTTTTAGGCATTTTATCATAAGAAATAGAACTTAAATAGATATTTGTTTCATTTGCTATATCTGTTACAATAAATGTTCTACTTTTAGTCATTTTATATACATTTGTAAAAGCTAGGTGATGAGAAAATGTAGCAAATCATTAGAATTTCGTTTCATCAGTAGAATTTGATAACACAAATTAATTGAAGAAATTGCAAATGAAATGTTGTATTAATATTGGTCCTCATTGAGTTAACAAACTTTAATATTCAATGGGACTATCTTCAACACTTATTACAAGATGATGATACTAAGATAATAAAATGATACCAATTGTTTTTCTAAATAATATTTAGTGTAAATATATATATGCAGCAAATATCTTGTAACTTTTAGATGGTACATCTTTCATTATAATGTTAATTTCAAAATGTTTCACATAATAATAGTATACATGAAACAATGCATGAATATATTCATGAATAATGTATATGTTAGTATATAAATGAATAATAAATTCTTCTATGATAGATGTTTGAATACTTTCATGAGTCACTGCTATATTATATATAATACAATGAATAATTGAATTGATATACAATACTATAGGTTTCATCAAATCACATTTCACTGTCATTAACATCAAAGTGTATAAAAGTACATTCATTTTTTTTTGTACCAATAACATTATAAGAAAGGACTTTTACAAAACCTGTAGTTATTGTTCTAATTATGCTCTTCATTGTACTACATACTGTCTCAAAAGTTAAACTGGCTAATACTATTTCATGAGCGAGTTTCCCAACCTCGTTTCTTAAATACATAATTAGTATTGAATTGATTGACACTACTATAAATTCTATAAATAACTCTGGTTCAGTCTAATGACTTGGAACAATTCAAATATAATACTCATACCGCGGCGAGACAGATTGAAAAAACAAAGGTCGTTAGATTTCACAGAGAGAACAAAACGATTGTTGTATTTTGGGGGGGGGGGGGGTGATTTTTCAATTGGCTAAAAAATAGTAAAAATTTCCGAGACGGTCGTGCACGCGTTATGGGATCGTTGCCAGAACGCGACCCGATCGATCAGCAGTGCCGTACACTCGTGACCATTTTACCCTTTCTGTTGACCTTTCACAATGCCCGTCGATAACAGGAATCTTGGCTGAGAAAATGCCAAAAATTTCTTTCCTGTTATTTTATCACCGCGCGCCAGGTTTTAGGTCAATGAGTCCACATTCAATTTCCGCTCTGGAGATCACACTCGAGTTTCATTCTTCATTTGAAAGAAATGACTGATGAAATACTGATTGCGTTAGTTTAATGGGATTGATAACTGTCACGAAGACGAAAAAATAGATTCTTTGTTGAAAGCACAGTGGATCAAACAATAGGTATTGGCACATCTAATTTCTTGGCGCATATCTTTATGAAAACAAATGATATATTAACAAAATCTGTTTCCATAAGTAGTTCACTACATATAAAAGTAACATGCACAGTGGCAATTTTCAATAATGGTACAAGTAATATAAAAATTGGAGAATCAAAAAAGTATTGCCATGCTCGTAGTTTCAACTCTTAATATTCATTTAATAGTTGAATGTTATCAGAAACATTATATTATATTCTATTCAAATGTACAGTAGAGCTAGAGTAAAAAGAAAAACTTCTTTTTAATTTTCAAATGTTTATGTTATTTGTATTATTATTGTATGACTCGTTATTGGAAATTGCTATTGTACAAAATTACTTTTCTATGTAGTGATGATGGAAACAGATTTTATTAATGTATCATTTGTTTCCACGAAACTAAAAGTATTTCAAGGAAATTAGAAATGCCAATACCAATTTTTCAATCCACTGTATATTTACGTGATACTGTGATACCTTCTCAAGTTCAAACCAAGTTGTGTAACACGCAAATGTCTCCCCTCTTGGTACACCACTATCCATATCATTGATAAGAAGCTTAAAGTCTTACGCGATGGACATATTTAGCATATTAATCCGTAGCGAATGGAGAATTTAATTAACACCAGCATAACGTGTTCTACAGTTCTATTATTTTCCAGTTGTTCCAACGATACGTTGAGATTATCCATTCAAAAATATAGAGACAACCCTGCGTTCGGTCAGCTATCTAAATATTTGAATTGTCAACAGATGTCCACGAATTTTTGATAGAATTTGAATTTGCCTTTAATCCATCGAGGATGAAACGATAGTTACAGACTTTTATGCAACTTCATATTTCTGAAAGTATAATTAAAAGAAGAAAAATAGAAGTAATTAGAAATTGAAAATGGAATTAATTAATAGAGGAATAGAATTGTTTTATACCTTGTTTCAACACTGTACCTTGGAAGTTTTATATATTTTTTTTATACTGTGCTCTAATTTTCTAAGTTGTATAAGTTCTACAAACAAATAATTAGAGTAAAATATATTGTACAGAGTAATTATACAAATAATAATTCAAACGTACAAAAATTATCAAAAGTTTTAAATCATAGATATAGAAATAGGAAACACTGTATACTTTTTTACATTGTGCTTTATGATTTATATATAAATTCTATAAATAAATAAACTAGAACAACAGATTATATAGAATAATTATATAAATGATAATTTAAATCTGTGAAAGTTGTTCAAGTTGTTCATTATGTATTTTTTTATACTGTGCTCTAATTTTCTAAGTTGTATAAGTTCTACAAAGAAATAATTAGAGTAAAATATATTGTACAGAGTGATTATACAAATAATAATTCAAACGTACAAAAATGATCAAAAGTTTTAAATCATAGATATAGAAATAGGAAACACTGTATACTTTTTTACATTGTGCTTTATGATTTATATAAATTCTATAAATAAATAAACTAGAACAACAGATTACATAGAATAATTATATAAATGATAATTTAAATCTGTGAAAGAAGTTGTTCAAGAAGTTATCATCATCATCAAATCATTCATCCCTGAAGAATTGAAAATTTACATTTCTATAAATACCTAAATGTTCAATTTCTACATTTCAAAGAATTGAAATGTTTACGTTTCCCTCGTTTTAACGGACGAAATATGGGCCTGAAGGAATCCGTGATAGTTCAATCGACACGAGACAAAAGTCAGGAGCCGACGAGCGACTAACAGAGACCGGCATGAGAACAGAGTTTTCGTCGATAATTGGGCGAACAGGATAGAGCACGTGCTCCAGATTACCACAGGGTGGTCGTGTGTCGGGGCTGGTGTGCTAACAAACTCGACGACCATCCAAATAAAACCGATATCGTCACCAGCATGCACCTGCATGCGACCCAGGAAACTGTAATCGATAATGGCTGAGGAATTGGCAATCTCATCTGCGACCTCTGTTCTAGTTCTACGACATACAACAACGAGGAAGTATATTCTCTTCTCTTCTCAAATCTCGTCAAACCATTCCATAAATAACGTCGGTTCTCTCTACTTCTCATTCTTCAATTTCTTTCTCTTTTCTTTCTGGCGATAGTTCCTAAAACTTGCAATTAACAATTAAAATAGTATTATAATAGCAGCACTGTCACACAAATTTTTAATTTCCTTTTTATATAAACTTGTATCTTTATTCCTATTAAATAAATAGAATTTCAATATAGATGTGATAAGTACCTTTTTTTTTTTGTATTTTGAAATCTTGTTTGATTCTATTATTTCATTGTTTCCATATATCATGTATGTATGGATATAATATATATTATTTTGTTGCATAATAATAACATACAAGATATTCTATAAAATATAATATATAAAAAATTGTACATAATTCATCTTACGTTATATGCACATTCTGCAATTTTTACTATAGATGCAACATCTATAGTGCTTTTGGTTTCTAAGTAAGTTGCGCTGTTTGTATCCGTGTAAAGTGAACAGAATTATTTATGGAATGAGATGGGAACAGCAGCTTCTGGCCAATGAACGGACGAGAAGTCTAGATGAAATCCTCTATCTCTCTTTCGCCTGGAAAAATAGGTTTCTCAAATTGCCAACGTTTCCCAGAGGGAAACCTGATTGATTCGACGATAACAACGCCAGCTCCTCTGGGACTGGGCTTTTAATTTCCCGATGGCGGAGGAAAATCTGATCAATGAAATCGACGTACATAGTAGAGTAAGATGATATTGATGTTGGACAAGACGTGGTGTATTCTTATCTCTGGTATTCAGATAATTAAATTTGGCCCGAACCGCGTCATACGGTGAATAGAGATTATCGACCGGTAGCGGTTCGTGCTTTTGCACACGGAATTGAGAGACCGGCACTTGTTACCAGAGTTAACCCTGAAACGATATCACGAATTTGAACAGATGAAAGCATACTCTCTCTCTCTCTCTCTCTCTCTCTCGCTGACAGAGATCATTAATAATCAGACTGTAAATTTTGATTTCTCTTTTTCAAGAGATTGAAGGAACTTGCCTTCTGTTAAATATTAATATAATAAATACCTTTGGATATTACGCGTGTTCTGGAACTTTCAAGTTTGTATAAAAGTCATACTGTATAATGATATTATGATGAAATTGAATTTTCTCTGTCTTTCAAATGTTACTAGCTTCCATCTATCAAGTCTACGAAATCTCTTCGAATTTTGCCCTGAAAGTTTAGAGAGAGCGAGATTCGATAAAAATTTAAAAAGAGAGAGAGAGAGAGAGAGAGAGAGAAGTTCAAAGTAAAAATTTAGATAGAGAAGGTGAAGTTCAAAAATTCTAGCTCACAGGATAGGGTAGAGCAGCATTATCTCAGAGTGAGAAATTTCAGGGCAGAGTTTAGTGAAGCGAGATCCAATAGGAGGAGAAAAATGGCGTGCCTGCCGACTTTATATTTAGAAAATCCAAACCCCATGTGAAATCCAGTACACAATCGCTCCTTTTCATCTGTTTGTTCAATTCACTTTTTTGTCATTATTTTAATTCTTGTATAAACGTTAAACAAACAATCTAAGATAATTTCTAGCAATGAATTAAACAGCATTGCAAATCACATTTGTTGAAATCCAAGTTTCAAGCCACGGGGATTCTGGTGAGTCATCATCCAAATATCTCACGAGATATCACACCCATTAATCTCCTAAAAAAAGAAATTAAAATGAAAAAAATTTAGAAGAAATATATGCTCCGAGTTCCTCTCGCGAGCAACGACATATATATATATATATATATATATATATATATATATTTATTCCACGCCGAAAATATTGCGCCACATTTAGAAACAGTGACGGGAAAGACGAAAGACGGGAGTCCCGTGGAAGGCAAGCAATTCAGTCAACTCTGTCGAGGAGTGAAATTAACAAAGCGAAGATAACATTGATCAGAGAGCAACATCTGCACAGTTGTGGAGGGAAGAGAAAATCTGTGCACGTAATCGAGAGAGTTTCGGCGAGGAGCGTTGCTCCAGTACCCCGAACACTCGTCCGTTGGATCGAGGCGACAGGCGCACGCGTAATACCGGCACGGACGATGCTCTACAAGCAGACCAGAGCTTTATCGCCTGTCACTTTCGACTACGAATCGTCAATGTTTTCTATCTAAGATCACAGATCAGCCTGCAGCCTGAAACGGAGAACTCGTTTATAAAATTGTAAAAGAAAAAAAAAAAAGAAAAAAAACAGAATGAGAGACGAACGTAACGTAAGTTTGAATGTAACATGGGAGGGCAAGTCGAGGCATCGAAGGGAAGAAAAGCGAGGCGTATCGACCAAGCCAAGTCTCAAATGGGCAGCTTCGTTTTATCGTCTTAGCAACGACACCATTGCTGAGTCAGCTTTGCCCACTAGAAGCCGCGATATTCCTTGCACGAAATGCCCTGCTTGCGTTGGATCTCTGCCGCGTGGATAGATTCGTTTGACATTGCTGCCTCTGGCATTAATGACACAGTCACGGGGCTCGTTCGATCGATTCTACAGACAAGACTACACACTCTCGACGATCGAAGTAGTTCTCTCCTCCAAAGAGAAGAGACCACAGCTAGAGACCTTTGCCATTCGAGGAAGAAGGCTCTAGAAAGAAAATCAGCCAGGATTCAGCTGCAGTGGTGAACAGATCGGTAGTTGCGTCCTCGTCGACGTTGGTTGGTTAAAGCCAAAGAGTAACTAGACGAGCGAGTAGGTAAGGTGAAACTCACGTAGTGAGGAAGCGTGCGGGCCACATTTCTGGCGATGGTGTTCACGATATACTGAGTCTCCTACTGAGTTCTGCGAGGGGGCAGGGAAAAGAAAAAGCTTCTCTCGGCTTGTAGTTGTACTTACGATTCCAGCCTCGTCAGCCACATCGGTACGACGCACATTTTTTTCGAGTCATCCCGCGACCGAGATCTCACTGTCTGTGTGTGGCTGCGTGTATCTCTCGGTCGCCGGCCGATTTCGATGAGATCCCCGTATCGAAGCACACACTCTGCGCAGCGGAACGACCGAGACGGAGGAAGGAAGAGAACGAAGAGAATGAAGAGTTGACAGAAGAAGAGTGACGCTGAGGATGAAACTGAACTGATGTACCAGTGTATGCCAGGTATGTGAGAATGTGCGAAGAGGAAGAAGAAGAAGAAGAAGAAG